GTTCAGTTCTAGTTCAGTTCTAGTTCAGTTCTAGTTCAGTTCTAGTTCAGTTCTAGTTCAGTTCTAGTTCAGTTCTAGTTCAGTTCTAGTTCAGTTCTAGTTCAGTTCTAGTTCAGTTCTAGTTCAGTTCTAGTTCAGTTCTAGTTCAGTTCTAGTTCAGTTCTAGTTCAGTTCTAGTTCAGTTCTAGTTCAGTTCTAGTTCAGTTCTAGTTCAGTTCTAGTTCAGTTCTAGTTCAGTTCTAGTTCAGTTCTAGTTCAGTTCTAGTTCAGTTCTAGTTCAGTTCTAGTTCAGTTCTAGTTCAGTTCTAGTTCAGTTCTAGTTCAGTTCTAGTTCAGTTCTAGTACAGTTCTAGTTCAGTTCAGTTCAGTTCAGTTCAGTTCTAGTTTAGTTCTAGTTCAGTTCTAGTTCAGTTCTAGTTCAGTTCTAGTTCAGTTCTAGTTCAGTTATAGTTCAGTTCTAGTTCAGTTCTAGTTCAGTTCTAGTTCAGTTCTAGTTCAGTTCTAGTTCAGTTCTAGTTCAGTTCTAGTTCAGTTCTAGTTCAGTTCTAGTTCTAGTTCAGTTCTAGTTCTAGTTCAGTTCTAGTTCAGTTCTAGTTCAGTTCTAGTTCAGTTCTAGTTCAGTTCTAGTTCTGTTCTAGTTCAGTTCTAGTTCAGTTCTAGTTCAGTTCTAGTTCAGTTCTAGTTCAGTTCTAGTTCAGTTCTAGTTCAGTTCTAGTTCAGTTCTAGTTCAGTTCTAGTTCAATTCTAGTTCAATTCAGTTCCAGAAAAATGAATATTTATTTTGATCTGTATCATTGTCTGTAATAAGCAAGCAAAAGCTTATGTTTGCTTTGTAATTGAAAAACAGTTTGGTTTAGTGTATTTAAAGCTTAGCAGCAAGTATCTTAAGATATTAGACAAAATTTGCACCTCAGTTGATACAATAAAGCAGGTCTGATGTTAAAACCTGTTATGTTTATGACAAGTTTAATTTGACAAATGAAATTATGGGGAGAAAAATAAGGTATAATTTTTATAAGCATTTATTTTGTAATAAATTAATCAGTCGCGTGGATATTATCAAAATATATGTTTGAATTATTTTCAAAAATTCTTTTAAAAATGTATGCAAGCTGTTCGAAATTATTATTTAATTGTGTTTTTATACTCAGATGTGAATCCCCCTGCTAGAGCTATTGATTAACTTTTTGCACTTTTACAATAACATTAGTAATATTGAAAATAATTTGCATAGAACAATAATTACCACACGTTTTCAAAAGAAAATATATTTGACATGTTTTTCAAAACTGTACAAAATTTGAACCTAAAATGGAATATAAATTCAGTCTTTATTAGTTAATTTAAAAGAAGTATACTTATTTTCTTTTTTTTTAATATCTATCGTAAAATCAATTTGTGTAAGCATGTCATTTTAAGCATGACATCCTCTCTTTGTGCTTTATTCCTTTTATTTAGTTCTTTAGAGTCTCTGCAGTCTTTTTTATACAATTTCATTATCATTTCGCTTTTGATGCTCTATAAACCACTTGGCCACGTACAATATAGACTGTGGAAAATGAAAAAAAAAAACAACTTTATCTTTTTTATAAAAAAAATTTATTTTAAGAAAACACAACTGTGCCTATAACAGAAAACTTGCAACGACTTGAGGGAGAAAAATCAGAAGTGACAGGAAAACAAGCATTATTAACAGGAAAAAACTTGCATAATAAATAAAATAAATTAAATGTACTTTAACTTAACCGGTTCGCTAAAGATGACTGATCTCATATTTAAAGTCTTCTTGCGAAATATCTTAATTTACAATCGCATACGCATTAGGGAATAATATATAGAGCTCTAAAGTTCTTGAGAGAACTCTTTGCAGATAACTATATCAGAACAGAAAAGCATAAAGAGAAAATTGCATTTAAGATTCGAACAAAAATTTAGAGAGAAAGAAATAAAATTAGTCTGGTCATAGTCTGGTGGTCATAGTCTAGGTCATAGTTCATAGTCTTTAGTTATCAGTGTTAGTCTAGTCTAGTCATAGTCTAGTCATAGTCTAGTCATAGTCTAGTCATAGTCTAGTCATAGTCTAGTCATAGTCTAGTCATAGTCTAGTCATAGTCTAGTCATAGTCTAGTCATAGTCTAGTCATAGTCTAGTCATAGTCTAGTCATAGTCTAGTCATAGTCTAGTCATAGTCTAGTCATAGTCTAGTCATAGTCTAGTCATAGTCTAGTCATAGTCTAGTCATAGTCTAAGTCATAGTCTAGTCATAGTCTAGTCATAGTCTAGTCATAGTCTAGTCTAGTCCTAGTCATAGTCTAGTCATAGTCTAGTCATAGTCTAGTCATAGTCTAGTCATAGTCTAGTCATAGTCTAGTCATAGTCTAGTCATAGTCTAGTCATAGTCTAGTCATAGTCTAGTCATAGTCTAGTCATAGTCTAGTCATAGTCTAGTCATAGTCTAGTCATAGTCTAGTCATAGTCTAGTCATAGTCTAGTCATAGTCTAGTCATAGTCTAGTCATAGTCTAGTCATAGTCTAGTCATAGTCTAGTCATAGTCTAGTCATAGTCTAGTCATAGTCTAGTCATAGTCTAGTCATAGTCTAGTCATAGTCTAGTCATAGTCTAGTCATAGTAGTCATAGTCTAGTCATAGTCGTCATAGTCTAGTCATAGTCTAGTCATAGTCTAGTCATAGTCTAGTCATAGTCTAGTCATAGTCTAGTCATAGTCTAGTCATAGTCTAGTCATAGTCTAGTCATAGTCTAGTCATAGTCTAGTCATAGTCTAGTCATAGTCTAGTCATATAGTCTAGTCATAGTCTAGTCATAGTCTAGTCATAGTCTAGTCATAGTCTAGTCATAGTCTAGTCATAGTCTAGTCATAGTCTAGTCATAGTCTAGTCATAGTCTAGTCATAGTCTAGTCATAGTCTAGTCATAGTCTAGTCATAGTCTAGTCATAGTCTAGTCATAGTCTAGTCATAGTCTAGTCATAGTCTAGTCATAGTCTATTATGAAAATTTGATCAAAATTTTTACTTGCTATTTGGATTATTTCTTCATTTGTTTATTGCAACAGAACACGTGGCGTATACGTTATATTTTATGGTCAATATTTACTTAATATTACGTATGCGATCTGCAGCAATATTGCGCCATATGAATAAATAAATGTTTTTATAAAAAACATTGCAATTAATTCAGTAAATTGTGGAATGTATAGTATTACTAAATTATTAACATTACTTAAAACATGTGTCTAATAACAATTAATAATTATAAAAAAATATTATAAACAACAATAAACGTACATATAACAGATGTACATTGTACATATTTACCTTTATTTGTAATTAATATATAATTAAGCTGTTTTTTTAATACATTTTCCTTATACATACATACATCGACATATATTCCATAAAGTGTTTAAATAATTGATAAATATTCTCTGAAAAGTTTGAGAAAAAACTGTTTGATTTGTTTGAATTTTTAAAGTTCGGATTTTTTGTTTTAGGTTCTTTTTTTTGTGTCACCAAAAAATAAAGAACAATAATCTCCCATTGAGGTTCCCAGTAATAATTTGTTTTTATCTTTATCCCTCATATATCTCAGATATATAAATCACAATTACATCTCTTTTCGTTTTGCTTTTAAAAAACCCTATAGAAGAGATTAAAACAAAACAGCATCTTTCAATTTCATTTAGTACTTGTTTGCGGCAAAAGTCAGGGTTTTCATTTACTACATCTGCTGTAACAAAAACCAGCCAAGAGAAAAACAACTAACGAAACTTGAAAACATGAACTCATTCTCATTCATGGCGGCGTGCTTTTACATGTGATGTGCATTATTGTTCAGTTTTCGTTGTTAACATTAAAGTACCATGACGATGATGTTTCAGTTGATAATGCAGATGACGATGCTTTTGTTGTTGTTGTTTCTGGTGTAACTGTAAGCTGTGGTTTATTTAGTATGTTACATTTAAGCTAAAATGATGTTTAATTTTTTCAGATAGTTGTTTTTGTTTTTATAGTTTTATATTGAGAGAAGATTACTTATGTATATACGATCATTAAGGTATTCTTGTGGAGATTTTCGTTGAGAAGAAACGTTGACTTTTATTACAATGAAATATTGGAACACATTCTCAGTTATTGTAGGCTTCACTATTTATTTTCTTCAATAATATTTATTCAACGAAATTGTGCAAAATATCACTAACATACCCAAGACTAGGATAAGTAAATCACACATACATACATCAATATGTATGATAAGTGCAAAATCGATTTACAAATGCTTGAGGTATAATCAAATTTTGTCCCGAAGTATGTAAGCAATTAATTGATGAAAAGCTAATTTTCTAAAAAAGTTTTTATATGAGAGTTAGGGTCAAACATTGGCCGATTCTCATAAAATTTGTAGAAGAGATATATTTGTATATAAAAGTTAGTTGTGTTACTAATGGTTTTAAGTCAATTTTGGAAGTTTTGGAAATTTTTGAAAAGGGAATTATATGGGGGCTAGGGTTAAATAAGGGCCGATCTTTACCAAAATCTGCGGTGTCATTTATACTTATATAAAACTTATACTTATATAAAACTTATTTTTTGGATAGATAGAAGTTTATTTGACGTAGTTATAGCTTAAAAGGCCAAATCGGGAGTTCCGGTTGTATGGGGGTAAGGTGATATAGTGGACGTATTTCAATCATTTTCAATAGGCTTCGTTCCTGTGTTGAAAAACACGTTTGATCCAAATTTTATCAAAATATCTTGAAAATTGCGGTCTATACCTTGCGCAAAAGATTTGCATGGACAGCCGGACAGATGGACGGACATGTCTCAGAAAGTGATTCTGAGTTGATCGGTATACTTTAAGATGGGTGTAGGACTAACATTTTTGTGTTACAAACATCAGCACAAACGCATAATACCTTCCCCACTATAGTGGTGTAAGGTACAAAAACACATTATATATAAACAATACATTTTCCAACTTACTTTCTTTAAACAATTGTGTTCTATTTGTTTCTGTTTTAGTTTAATTGCAGACAGTTTATTATTATTGTTTCCCTTATAAATACAAGAACTCATTGACACACATTCGTTTATGCAATTATTGTTGGTGTTTTCTATGTTTCTTTTCTTTCAAAGAATTTCACTTTGTGACGTTTTTATCGGCTCTCAGCATCAAAAGTATTTTCTATTTACACATTTCCATGCGTTTTATTTTTAGATATACGTACATAAATTTACAACAAGTTTATGCAAAAGACAAGATATTATATTATTTTTTATTTATTTTTTAAAATTCTTCACTTTCTTTAAGGCATTCAAACATGTAATGGTTTCTGCTGAAGAATTTGCAAAATTTAAAAATTTTCTTGGCGTAATAAATTTAAATGAGTTTTTGGATATTATTTTACTTTAGAAAGTGTTATTGTCTGAAGTGAGTTATGTGTGTTTGTCTTGTTTAGTTTACAAATACTATTTATTGATTTGTTAAATTTTGTATCGAAGAAAATCTTTTTAATTTAATGCATTAAAATTTGTTGGTTTAAATTGTTTTGATTATTAATATTTCGTTGTTTATTTTTTTAGTTAGTTAGTTAGTTAGTTAGTAGTTAGTTAGTTAGTTAGTTAGTTAGTTAGTTAGTAGTTAGTTAGTTAGTTAGAGTTAGTAGTTAGTTAGTTAGTTAGTTAGTTAGTTAGTTAGTTAGTTAGTTAGTTAGTTAGTTAGTTAGTTAGTTAGTTAGTTAGTTAGTTAGTTAGTTAGTTAGTTAGTTAGTTAGTTAGTTAGGTAGTTAGTTAGTTAGTTAGTTAGTTAGTTAGTTAGTTAGTTAGTTAGTTAGTAGTTAGTTAGTTAGTTAGTTAGTTAGTAGTTAGTAGTAGTTAGTTAGTTAGTAGTTAGTTAGTTAGTTAGTTAGTTAGTAGTAGTTAGTTAGTTAGTTAGTAGTAGTTAGTAGTTAGTAGTTAGTTAGTTAGTTAGTTGTTAGTTAGTTAGTTAGTTAGTTAGTTAGTTAGTTAGTTAGTTAGTTAGTTAGTTAGTAGTTAGTTAGTTAGTAGTTAGTTAGTAGTTAGTGTTAGTTAGTTAGTTAGTTAGTTAGTTAGTTAGTTTAGTTAGAGTTAGTTAGTTAGTTAGTAGTAGTTAGTTAGTTAGTTAGTTAGTTAGTTAGTTAGTTAGTTAGTTAGTTAGTTAGTTAGTTAGTTAGTTAGTTAGTTAGTTAGTTAGTTAGTTAGTTAGTTAGTTAGTTAGTTAGTTAGTTAGTTAGTTAGTTAGTTAGTTAGTTAGTTAGTAGTTAGTTAGTTAGTTAGTTAGTTAGTAGTTAGTAGTTAGTTAGTTAGTTAGTTAGTTAGTTAGTTAGTAGTTAGTTGTAGTTAGTTTAGTTAGTTAGTTAGTTAGTTAGTTAGTAGTTTAGTTAGTTTTAGTTAGTAGTTAGTTAGTTAGTTAGTTAGTAGTTAGTAGTTAGTTAGTTAGTTAGTTAGTTAGTAGTAGTTAGTTAGTTAGTTAGTTAGTTAGTTAGTTAGTTAGTTAGTTAGTTAGTTAGTTAGTTAGTTAGTTAGTTAGTTAGTTAGTTAGTAGTAGTTAGTAGTTAGTTAGTTAGTTAGTAGTTAGTTAGTTAGTAGTTAGTTAGTTAGTTAGTTAGTTAGTAGTTAGTTAGTTAGTTAGTTAGTAGTTAGTAGTTAGTTAGTTAGTTAGTTAGTTAGTAGTTAGTTAGTTAGTTAGTAGTTAGTTAGTTAGTTAGTTAGTTAGTTAGTTAGTTAGTTAGTTAGTTAGTTAGTTAGTTAGTTAGTTAGTTAGTTTCTAACGTATAAAAATATTCGGTCTATACCTTGAAGTATACCTATAAGTATGTCGGTCCGTCCGTCCATTCGACTCTCTAGCGGCCCAAGTAAAGCTTGTGATCAAGTTACAGGACGTAATTTTCTTGAATTGTATGAAATTTTGCACATGTGCTTGTTGGTTCAAGGACCTATTTAAAATGCAGCATACAACAAAACCCCCGAAAAGTGCTTTTAAGCTCATAATTATGTTCTTTCACAAATTGCTTAAATATATTGCAAACAAGATAATATTCAAGGTAAATGCTTTATTATGAGAAATAAATCACATCTAATATTCAAAAATGGTGTAGGGTATCATATAGTCGGCTACATCCGACTACACTTTCTTACTTGTTTTTTCATTATACATATCGCTCATTTACTACCAGACTCGCCTATCTAAACATTCAGGGTTTTTAAACTACAAGGTACATGTATCCAGTTGTTAAGTTTTTAATAAAGTTTTATGTCTTCTCCTTTAAGTGCTCTAATTTACAGCTTTAACCATATATTGTTCAATTTTCTTTTCAACAAATCTTACAAACTTTTACTTTAAGTCAAACATTTCGATTATCTTTAAAATAATTGAGTATTTTGGAAATATTAGTAAATAAAGTTATTTATATGTAAGCAAGTAGGTCGCTATATTACATTATGTTTATAAAAAGTGTGTAATAAACATGAGGGGAGAAACAGTTTGTCATAAAATCAAATCTTTCTTTATGGTTCATGTATATTTTATGAGTTTCTTGTTTATTTAAGAAAGATTCTGTATTTTGATTTTAATGTTTATGTAAATGTATAGTCTGTTTCTACTATTTCTATTATTAAGGTTTTTTTCACAAAACCTATAAATTTCATTTATGTTATTTACACTACCGTATTTACCATAAGGGCACCTCCGACTTCAAATAAGAATGAGTGCCTCTTCCTATCTTATCTTATTGCAATTATATACATTTTTCGAAATTATTTACTATTTTCAATACAAAAATTAAAAACTTGTTCGTTCGCATTTAAAGCAACAGCCTAATTTAGGGCAGTTTTAAAACAGTTATTTAAGAAAATTTCTAAACTTTACATCACCGATGTCCATATACAGATATTAATCAATTGGCGAATTTCGCGGATGAGTCAGATATAAGGTCAGTAAAAAGGTTAAGTTTTTTAGTTTAAATATATCACTGTATTTTTAAGTTTTACCGTTTTAATTTAGTAATGCACACAACACGTCGTCACATCTTGGCAAACTGAATTTGCAAATTTTCTTGCCAAAGCAGCACACATGCAGCGAAAAAATTATTGAGAGACTTCTATGTTGTTTCATATACATTTCTACATAGAGAAGCAGAATTGAACAAGTTACAACACACACACTTTAGGGATCAAAATTCAGATAATATTACAATATTTTCATGTCAATAGCAAACTACTCTCTAAATGTTAAATAACAGTTCTCTGCGCTCTTATAATATGGGAACAATTTTGTTCATTTGTTTTGGGAAATTTGGCTTTTGTAGAGTAAAAAGAAGAGGAAGTGAGTCATTTTGGTGTGAAAAACACGTGTTGAGCTGTCATTGAGGGGTGCAAACAAGCACGTTTGAGAGTGCAAAACAATTCCAGACAAATTGGGGATATTTTCTTGTTTTCATTTTCACAGGAAAGAGAGCTAATGTATAAAAATATGTATGTATGTATATTGGTTATGCTATTTTCTTTTAAGTATTAAGTATTAAGAATTACTTTTAAGGTTTTACTACGTAAACATGACTGTAGTGATTAGTTTTCTATTTATGAATGAAATAAATACTCAAGTACATGATATTAAAACTATCCAGACTATGACTAGACTATGCCTAGAATATGCCTAGACTATGCCTAGAATATGCCTAGACTGTGCCTAGACTATGCCTAGACTATGACTAGACTATGACTAGACTATGACTAGACTATGACTAGACTATGACTAGACTATGACTAGACTATGACTAGACTATGACTAGACTGTGACTAGACTATGACTAGACTATGACTAGACTATGACTAGACTATGACTAGACTATGACTAGACTATGACTAGACTATGACTAGACTATGACTAGACTATGACTAGACTATGACTAGACTATGACTAGACTATGACTAGACTATGACTAGACTATGACTAGACTATGACTAGACTATGACTAGACTATGACTAGACTATGACTAGACTATGACTAGACTGACTAGACTATGACTAGACTATGACTAGACTATGACTAGACTATGACTAGACTATGACTAGACTATGACTAGCTATGACTAGACATGACTAGACTATGACTAGACTATGACTAGACTATGACTAGACTATGACTAGACTATGACTAGACTATGACTAGACTATGACTAGACTATGACTAGACTAGACTAGACTATGACTAGACTATGACTAGACTATGACTAGACTATGACTACTATGACTAGACTATGACTAGACTATGACTAGACTATGACTAGACTATGACTAGACTATGACTAGACTATGACTAGACTATGACTAGACTATGACTAGACTATGACTAGACTATGACTAGACTATGACTAGACTATGACTAGACTATGACTAGACTATGACTGACTATGACTAGACTATGACTAGACTATGACTAGACTATGACTAGACTATGACTAGACTATGACTAGACTATGACTAGACTATGACTAGACTATGACTAGACTATGAGAGACTATGACTAGACTATGACTAGCTAGACTATGACTAGCTATAGGACTAGACTATGACTAGACTATGACTAGACTATGACTAGACTATGACTAGACTATGACTAGACTATGACTAGACTATGACTAGACTATGACTAGACTATGACTAGACTATGACTAGACTATGACCAGACTATGACTAAACTGGGCAATTTGATACTCACTTGTTTCAACTTTTAACAAAACGTAAAATCCAGTAAAAATTAATCGCATTTATGCGCCTTGCTTTATGTTCAACTTAATTATAAAACATTAACTTTTCAAGTTTTATCACTAGATACATTCCGGCAAACTTAAGAGTGCTTTATATTGAAGTTATTTCCTTTTTGTTCCTGTTTTTTGTATTTGATATCTACTGAACCTTAAAAGACAGAATAGAAAATATTTCGTAGTTCAAAAAGAATTCATGCAACTTACGACAGATTTACAAAAAAAAAACATAGAAATAAACATAAACAACAATTTATAAATAAAACATAATAATTAGAAATCAGAATAACAGGAAACTTATTATAGGGTAGAAACTTTACACCCGTCAACATCACGAATGACAGACTTTGGTCTTTCCCTGTCTGACAAAATCATAAACAGCTGGTATAAACTAATTACCACAGTCATGACATGTTTAACAATATAGGTTAAACACGAATTTGCTAAGATAAAACACAAGTTAAAGGATGATAAAATCATTGTGGTTGTATGGGTTTTACCAAATATGTTGAGGGTTGGTCCTATTCTGGGTATACTTTTTTAGGAATTTGTTTCTAAAGGAATTACTTCTAAGTCTAGCAACTATGACTTTTGGAGATGTAACAGTTACATAGATGGAGGAAATATTTACTTTCCACTTCAATCCAAGTTTATGCTTCAATTCTAAATTTTTTGACGCATTTGCAAAAATGTGTTTTTGTATTTATCCGCACTTTTTATTTTTTTTTTATTTATACAGAAATAATACTAGTTATAGAAATATTTGAAAAAAGAAGTAGGTAAGCATTTTTGGCTTATTTATATTATTCAATTCAATAATAATAAATGATGACACATACAAAAAAAAAAAACAACAACAATACAGTTAATAAAAATTTAACTTAATAAGACATGACATTGGAAAAAACAAATGTAATTTTTGCACTCTACAGCATTATAGTGCGAGGGAATTATAAGCTTGTGCCAATGTTTGTAAAAAAATATATGTATATAGTCTAGTCATAGTCTAGTCATAGTCTAGTCATAGTCTAGTCATAGTCTAGTCATAGTCTAGTCATAGTCTAGTCATAGTCTAGTCATAGTCTAGTCATAGTCTAGTCATAGTCTAGTCATAGTCTAGTCATAGTCTAGTCATAGTCTAGTCATAGTCTAGTCATAGTCTAGTCATAGTCTAGTCCATAGTCTAGTCTAGTATAGTCTAGTCATAGTCTAGTCATAGTCTAGTCATAGTCTAGTCATAGTCTAGTCATAGTCTAGTCTATAGTCTAGTTCATAGTCTAGTCATAGTCTAGTCATAGTCTAGTCATAGTCTAGTCATAGTCTAGTCATAGTCTAGTCATAGTCTAGTCATAGTCTAGTCATAGTCTAGTCATAGTCTAGTCATAGTCTAGTCATAGTCTAGTCATAGTCTAGTCATAGTCTAGTCATAGTCTAGTCATAGTCTAGTCATAGTCTAGTCATAGTCTAGTCATAGTCTAGTCATAGTCTAGTCATAGTCTAGTCATAGTCTAGTCATAGTCTAGTCATAGTCTAGTCATAGTCTAGTCATAGTCTAGTCATAGTCTAGTCATAGTCTAGTCATAGTCTAGTCATAGCCTAGTCATAGTCTAGTCATAGTCTAGTCATAGTCTAGTCATTGTCTAGTCATAGTCTAGTAATACGGGCACATTAAAGACTCCCATATGTGGAGACAAACACTGCGAGCTCTGGTGTAGGTTATCATGTGGAAGCTCTGGTGTAGGTTATCCCATGGCCGCTCATGTCTTATTTGTGTTAAAGTAATGTAAAAATAACCTAAACACTCATGTTAACAAAGCACGTGCTTCAAAATTTATACATGAATAAATTTCTAAAACAGATGTACTTTATAAAATAGAAAATTTGTGTTTTATTACCTCCTACATTTTTTTAAAAAATGTTTGTACCTTCATACATGCTTATTGTTACATGATGTGGAAAATTTCGCAAACATAGATAAATTATTGTACTGAAAAAAAGAACATAATATAATTCTAATGTAAAAGCAAACTTGAAAAATTTATCAAATATAAAGTAATATGATTAACTGAAATAATTCATTTAAAAATCAAAGCATGGTCAAAAGGACACAAGAGGAATCTTCCATTGTGTTTGATTTGAAATGATGCCCACCCAAATTGATTGTTGAATTGCAGGACAAAGCATTTAAGGTTAATTATAGCTAAAGGGCATTTTTGTGAAATGAAAAGCTATTAAGTTGATTGCAATTTGTTTTCGTTTAAATTTTAATTTAAAATACTTTTTGTTGAGTATTTGTATTTTCACTTCATTATAAATAAATTTGTTGGCGTATGGTGATTATTTTATTGTTAAAAATCATAGGCAGGTATGGCAAACATATTTTTTTAGGAATCCTTTTTCGAATCCCAGAGATCAGTGACTGTGTGTTTGTTTAGCACGGAAAACTTGATACTTCGATAGAGCATTGTTTTGTTTACTTTGTAGGTGACGTATGTGAAATATTTTTCAAATTAATAATAATCATACGTATGGATGTAAAATACATTCAAAATCATATAACTTGCAAATAATTATTTCAAAATTAATTTATTCAAAACAATAACAATTCCTATTTTCCTTACAGTTCTCCGAAATTTACCCAGCAAAACTGTTATTATTAAGTAATACGGTGATGAAATTGGAAGCAAGTACTTAACATGATCCCTAAAGTTAAGGCAGTTCTAGTCACGATCGCTTTATTATTAGATGTTAAATAAATATTTTTGTTTTTGAGGATTTGTCCACTGCATCTACTGATAGTTTTCACAAAAATAGAACTCGAAAGCAAAATATAACTCATTACTAGACTTCTTCTAAGGAAAGCAGACGGTATATTTTAGTCTTTGAAAAGTAAGTTGTTGGGTGAGTACAAATCATTGTTGCCTTAGAGTACACACATTTCCTATTAGTCACACTCATAGATTTCTCCTATACTAATATGATTAAGTAGAATAAATTAATCTTTATGTGACTAAAAAGAACATTAACTTAAAATATTTTGTTTCATTCTACTTTCACACATCTATATGAAAAAGGGTAAAAACCCAAGAAAGGGTTTAGTATAAATACAAATTATATTATTATTTGAAGGTTAAACATATAAATCACTAAAATTTATTATCACAGAATTACTTAAAAATAAAATTATATACATACATATGGATTGCTGCCGTATGAATACGTTCAATCTATATATATATATATATATATATATATATATAT